CTCTATTGCAGTATTTACCATCATGCTTTGCCGAGCAACATTTAAGTGGGGTTTCTGGATTCATTAAACTTCAGCTTCCAGATGGGAGACAGTGGCTTGTTCGGTGTCTTTATAGAGGAAGCAGGGCTAAGTTCAATCAAGGATGATATGAATTTACATTGGAGAATAATTTGGGGGAAGAAGATGTCTGTGTCTTTGATCTTCCCATATCGAGGGAATTTGTGCTCAAAAACTATATTCATAATTGGATTTAGTTGAACTATTTTGGTCATTTTATTATATTCAGATTTGGGATTTAATCTCACATAATTAGTGTTTTTTAGTAGTATTTCGGTCCTTTTCTATGTTGGAAATGATGTTTTCTAAATGTTCATATTTTAATCGGCATATATTTGAATAATTAAATAATGTCAAATTAATATTTTCAATTCGAACGTAGGACCAAAATTATAATTTGACCTAAATTTGGCTTATGTATATGTCATAACATTTAGCGACGTTTGGAAAAACGCCACTAAATATCATTACTTTTAACAGCGTTTGTAAAAAAATACTGCTAAATATCATTACATGCAGCAGCGTTTATAAAAAAACGCCGCTAAAGAACATAACCGTTAGAGGTATTTGTGGTTCACAAACGTAGCTATCTTTTGCAGTGTTAGTTTCAGCGGTACTTTAGCGCGTTTGTTTTTGCTCTACCAAAGTTTTTAGCGGCGTTTAAAAACACCGTTATATGATTGAAGAAACGCCGCTAAAAATCTATTTTGTGTAGGTTTTGGCTTATAGCCCTTATTCCTTTATTAACCATAATCTTTTGTTATCTTTAGATCATGATATTCCCAATTATATTTAGTGGCCGACTGGTTGTACCACCGGTTTAGAAAAGATCAATGCCAATGTACAAATACAATACGACTATACTATATTTACCATAATACACATCATGTAATATATCACATGATAAGTATGGAATTACTCCTAATACTATACACCTACGTTATATTAATTATTGTCTTGAACAATTTTTACCTAGAAAAAGGGAAAGGAGAATTTTGCCTTTAATGGACATTGAACCCACAATCTAAGGGAAAGAGGAAGTATGAACTAATTTTTTTTAATCATTTGCTCTATATGCTGTTGACCGTTATATTTAATTGTTTATATAAGTAATATGTCACTATTAATGCCAAAATTTTAAACTATGAAAATATGTGACCAATACATTACAATCTATTAAGATAATCATTAATACATCACACCGTATATGATTAAATATCTTGTTTATATATATATATTCTAAAAGTAGAAACTAATATCATCAGCGTCAGCTGCTTTACGAGGTTCCAATGCTTAAACTAGCAGATCCCGTTTTGGTGTCATCGAGTGATTAGCATGCTAAGGTATGGTACTAATGAAGTACTCATTGAAATTAATTAAGAAAATGAGGAATTTGTTTGACGTTAAATATAATTTATTATATTAGACAATGGGTAAAGTAGTGGATAGGGCACCTTGTATTGGCCCATATGCATTAATTCACTAATTCCAAATCAAAGGTTTGGCTGTTAGCGTCCAAACTAATCTATTAAGCTTAGACTTTTGGCTTGTTCGAATCTTTTGTCACAACACGCAATAGAAGGGAAGGGAAGGGAAGGGAAGGGAAGGGAAGGGGGGGCGGGAACGAAAGGTAGTTTAATTATAAATATATTATACTTTTTAAAAAACAAAATTTACACTATTGTCGTTAAAATAAAAATCTAGTATGACATGATATAATAACAATTTTAATATCCAAAACTTATATGATTTATTAGTTTGATTCTCATTTAGAAAATTTTAATAAAATTAATCCTTCATATTTAAAATTTTATCAATTTTATTATTTTTACAATACTTTAAAATCAAACGAGTCCGCCAAATCAAAATAATAGTTGAATAATGATATTTTACCACAAAACAACAACAAATTACCGCCAAATAATTATATTATTATATCAGATCACGCGACAAGTATGTTTAATATTTATTATTTGTTGATATATTTGTAACAGTGATTTTATTAAAAGCCTAATTATAAATATTTTTTTTAAAAAGGACTCATTTATAATCGAATAATTAGATGAGGTGTGGCTGTTGTATTTCATGGCAGGTTTCTGTAAAATTAAAGGATTGAATATATGACATAAGAGAATCAGTTGAAAGGAAATGACATAAGAATTGTGGCAAATATCTTTATTCTTTGTCACTCAAGTTTGTTATATTTATTGTGTGTGTAGGCATGAAGCAGCGGATTCTTTTACTCGTCACCCTGCCCTGCTGCTGCAGCCGCTTGTCTCTCTATCATGCCTTATCTCCATTTGGTTGTGACGATACAATGGTAGGCCACTTCAGATTTTTGTTTATAGTTTAGACACGTCTTACATACATTTACCGGATAATCCGAAACCTTTATAATTAAGATATACGTAAGATTTTAGGAGGGTGAGTTTATAAAATTTGAAGGAGTCAAACAATAAAATTTTAAGAAAAAAATTAGTTTTTTAATAAAAAAATATATCTAAAATATATAATAATTTAAATTTTTTAGAGGGACGACCCATCTCACATCCATCCCTATTTATAATTATAATCTCCGCCACTGCCTTGGATTGCAACTATCTCAAATTGCACTTCTTGAACGTGAGTGAGACATCTTCACACACACAAATGTTTCATAATGTACAGTGAAGTGTTGGGCATTTAGGCCCATTTGTTGAGTTAAAAACTAGATATATAATAATTAGAGGTCACTAAATTATGTTTAAATTAAAAAAAAATTACAAAAGAATAAATAAATTTATCGAATGTTACAAAATATCATTGAGATATTATAATAATTGTAAAAACTAACTAAATTTAATGACTATTTTATAATAATTTGTTAAAATTAAATGATCATTTTATAATAATATGATAGAAATTAATGACCCTTTATAGCAATTTGATAATTTCATGCTATTTTATAATGTTTGAATGTTTAATGACTAAAAGATCATATTATTATAGTTTACTGACTTACAGTTTATTATCCAGAAAAGAGCAGCATATGTCTTGCATGGTGATTTAAAAGCCCAGCCTTGTGATAATAACTCCATGGAGCCATTTTCGAGCCCTAATTTAGACCAATATTGAGACCCAATTGATCACAATTTTGACGTCGTTCATTTTCTTATACAAGTTATGCTTTAGGGTCGGTCCAAGAATAATACCCAAACCAATATTTGGAAAGGGTGATAGAGGCTAGGTTGAGACAAGTTACTAGGGTTTCGGAAAACCAATTTGGCTTTATGCCAGGCAGGTCTACCACGGAGGCGATTCATCTACTTCGACTGCTTATGGAGAAATATAGGGAAAAGTCTAGAGATCTTCACATGGCGTTCATTGACCTTGAGAAGGCTTATGATAGTGTCCCCCGCGATACGATCTGGAAGACTTTGGAAACGAGACGGATCCCAACTGCTTATATCCGGGCGATTCGTGATATGTACTGTAGATCTACTACTTACGTCAGGACTACAGTTGGCGACACCGAGGCATTCCCGGTGGAAATCGGACTCCACCAGGGGTCGGCTCTTAGCCCTTACATCTTCGCCTTGATCATGGACGACATCTATTGTGCGACACCAGACGGTGTACCATGGTGTATGCTTTTCGCTGACGACATTGTCTTAGTTGCTGAAACAAAATCTGAGTTGAATAGTAGACTGGCTACCTGGAAGACTGCTTTGGAAGAAAAGGTTTAAGGATCAATATTGAAAAGACAGAGTATTTATGTTCAAACTTCAATGGGAACCAAAACGATGAAGATGTAGAAGTATGCATAGAAGGACACGTTCTCCCCTCAAAGGATTGTTTCAAGTACCTAGGGTCTATGATACATAAAGATGGGGGTGTAGATGATGACGTTACACACCGTATAAAGGCGGGATGGCTAAAGTGGAGGGCCGCTACTGGAGTTTTGTGTGACAAGAAGGTCCCTCTAAAACTTAAGGGAAAATTTTATAGAATGGCAATAAGACCAGCGCTGTTGTATGGATCAGAATGTTGGGCAACCAAGAAGGATCACGTAAGGAGGATTGAGGCCGCAGAAATGAGAATGCTTCGATGGACATGTGGTAAGACTCTGAGGGATATGACGACAAACTCTGCTATTAGGATGTCCTTGGGGTGGTGTCTGTTTCCGAAAAATTGAGGGAGGGAAGACTACGGTGGTTTGGGCATGTCCTTAGGCGACTACCGTCGGATGCGGTAAGGAGGGTAGAGTCGATTACAGTCGACGGTGCCAGAAGGAAAGGACGACCAAGGCGAAAGTGGGAAGACTGCTTGAGATCTGATTTGAGGGATTTAGCCCTTACCGAAGACATGACCTCTGATAGGAAAATATGGAGGCTAAAGACTAGGGTAGTCGAGTAGTGTGGGTCACATCTATAGGGTGTATCACCTCTGTCTTCTTTTAATGTCTTTGTAGTATTTTCCATGACTTATACTTTTTATATGTTTCTGTTATTGGTATTTATGAAGGATTAGAACTGGGCTTGCTAACGTTTACTTCTGTGTATCATTCTCTTCATGTTTCCTCTTTTAAATTTAGCCGGATCTTATCTTATGCTTATGTCTATATGCAGAGATTCTTTCGCAGGGATAATTATGCAGGGATTAATTCCCGTTACAGACGCACATATGATTTTAATGACTGCATATGAATACTGTTTAGCTATGTATTTATGTATTTATTTATACATGCATTGCATTTTATCTAAATTTTTAATTTTCTGACTGCCGGAGGTCTTCCACGGAAGTTACTCTCAACCTGGCGTTGGGGGTAGCCTACTACCCTACCTCCCCCTTACCCCATACATATGGGAATTGGGTTTTGTTGTTGTTGTTGTTGTATATATTACTCTACCTGTCGTTACCATTGCGCGCCATGTGTACTCCCTTCTCGTGCCTGCCCAAGTTATTAGAGAGACTTTCACCTCCGATTTCTGAATCGAATTTTCAGAAAATCTCAATTGACAAAGGAGAGCGATCGAATAATAGCAGTGTTGTGAAATAAGCTCCAATGGCTTCAGGGTTGATTCATTCCAGACTCTCACTCTCTAGAATCTAGTAAGTTCATATTCTCTCTTATGCTCCATTGATTAGTGTTTTCATTTTTGTATTTTCACGGTCAGATTCTTGTACTAGATATTCTAATTCGATCATTCATAAAATGTTACAAACTATAGATAATTCTGTATTTTCTGGGTTTTGCCATTTTTCGAATTCGAATTCCTGTTATCAGGCTATAATGTTAGGAACTTAGGATTGATTTTGTTCTGTGGAGATGAAAATGTTAAATTTATTCTCTATTGTTGTTGCTATATGAATTGAGGACTTCATTTTTTGGGACCTTCTCCTTTGTAATATTTCAGCGTAATGGCTGGGAACAAGAATGGGAGATTTCTTTCAACTGAGTCTAACAAGGTTGATGAACCTTTTAAAGTTGAAGAAGCAGAGACTGTAAACGTACCTCCTCCTCCTTCTGAAAAGGTGCTGGTTAGAACTTAAGACTATTGTCAATTTTGTAATGTTGGCATCTTTTTATTTATTATCATGTATTGTTTCATTTCAGCTGCTTGTGTTGGGTGGAAATGGATTTGTTGGCTCCCATATCTGCAGGGAAGCTTTGAATCGTGGTCTGAGTGTTGCCAGCCTCAGCAGGTATTTCGATTTTCTTAAAAGTTCCTGCTACAAATGATTTTTCCCCAGGAATTTTTCAAAGTACGTTAAAATTTATTTGAAATAATGTTTATTTCTCATGTGAGTCTGGTTCAGTGATGAAGCACTTGAACTAATGGCGTTTGCAACTATGTAATCTTGCAAGATGTAGAGTAAATAAGAAATTGCTGATTGTTGCTCAATGTTTTTTAAACTTAATTTTTCAATTATCGTGGAAAGAGACCAGTCCTTTAACTTTGTACACTTTAGCTGGAAATATTCATCTAGATGCTTCCTGTCGTTATATGATCTATACTACAAAGGCTGCTTGTTTATGTTGCTCTTGATATGCTTCCTTTGCTTGTTACAAATAAGATCGACACTTTCTGCTGTGCTCTCTCCCTTTTTTCTTTTTTTCTTTTTCATCAATTACTTATATTGCTTCAATTCCTTCATTTGGTTTTTTCTTTCGATTAGGTCTGGCGGATCATCTTTACATGACTCTTGGGCTAAGGATGTGACCTGGCATAAAGGTTTCTTTTCTTTATTTACTTGCTAGATGTTATTAGTTGCATGCTGTTATGAATCTAATAACATGTTACTTCTGTTCAGGGAACCTTCTGTCATCCGATTCGTGGAAGGAAGCTCTTGATGGAGTTATATCTGTTGTATGTAGTCTCTTGATTCTGCAGATGACTTAACATCCAAAAAGAGATTTGAGCTAACTTTACTTTCAAAGCCATACACAATGATTCCATAATTTAATTCTGGCATTCATATTAAAATATCCTTGTTTACCTACAATTCAATTTGGATCTTACTCTCTTCTTTGATATTATTTTTTCCTGCTAATTAAGTTTACCTTTTTAGATCTCTTGCATCGGTGGTTTTGGATCTAATTCATATATGTATAAGATTAATGGGACTGCAAACGTCAATGCTATCAGAGCTGCTGCAGAGAAAGGTATATGAATCCTTGATCTGTGATGTGTCTATCTAGGGAAAAGCTGATTTGTCTATCTAGCCGTTTTTCTGTTGGGTTGACCCTTATATGTTGTTTACAGGCGTGAAAAGGTTTGTTTATATCTCAGCTGCTGATTTTGGCTTAGCAAACTATTTACTGAAAGGATATTATGAGGGGAAGGTACACTTTTCTCTTTTGCTCTTGGTTCCTAATTGCAATTTGTTTAGGTGTCTATTTTGGGTGCTAGTCGGCGGGTTTTGTTCTTAGCTTTCTGCTCAAGATGTGGTAGGTTAGCACATATGTTGAAAAAATTGTTTTGACAAGTAATGGTATGATGGCTCAAGAATTTTTGTGGTTATTATCTTCCTTCTGATATGGAAACTTCTCTTGTTCTTGGCTTGTTTGGCAACAGAGAGCTGCAGAGACAGAGTTACTCACTAAATTTCCATATGGAGGTTGGTTTTCTGATTTACATTGCTTCTTATTCACATATTTCTATGATAAGCTCTTGTAAATTTTAATTTGGATGGTAGCCTGCTAATTCTAGTAATAATATTATGAAATTATCACCATCTGGTAGTGTTAGGTTTCTTTGCATCACTTAAGAATTTCCATTTCCTATTGCAGGAGTGATTTTGAGGCCTGGCTTTATTCATGGGACTCGCAGTGTTGGAAGAATAAAATTACCTTTAGGTGTTATTGGTTCTCCTTTGGAAATGGTAAATGCATGATCTCTAAGTTTACTTTTCATCTTTTGTATGTTGTCTTCATTTGATCTATAACCTGACCTAAACTGCAAAATGATTGGGTCCAATGATGCATCCTAGTTTTTAGGGAGTTGGTGGAAGTAATCAGCATTCAATGTGTAATGAAATGTGACCAGATTAGCTTTAATGATGCGTGTCGAAAGCTTAAGCTTGAATGGGTGGTTATAAAACTAAGATTTCTTTCATCTCTGCAGGTTTTCCAACATGCAAAACCATTGAACCAGGTACCACTGATTGGCCCATTATTCACTCCTCCAGTTAATGTTACTGCTGTTGCCAAGGTTGCAGTGAGAGCGGCAACCGATCCTGTTTTTCCACCCGGCATCGTTGATGTCTATGGAATACAACGATTTAGCCTGCAAATGTCAAGATAAACTATAGTTGAACTTGGGAGTTCTGCGTTTGTTTTCTATGATTCAAAAGTAAAGAGCTTGGTATCAAGAGGTTAAAGGTGTACGTGGCTGATTGTAAATTCGTGGGATGGTTGCAGCGTTAAGAGAGTGAAGAAAACAGGTCAATACTTCACTCTGGTACAATAAAAATTGTCAGGGATTGGCTTGTAGTGGCTGAAATTTTCTGATTCTCCTAGTCTTGAAAGAGAAATGCCGGTTTCTGCTGTCAATACTTCTAGTGGTTTTAGACAAAAGGAAACACACATTTCCCCCTTTTAACTCGATCCAGAATTAATATGAAGTAATGTGGACAAGACGTGTTTTAAAAACATAAGCTACAATCAATTTCAAGTTTCATTTTTGAATAATCAATACCTTCATTCTTTCATAAATTAGAAATAACAGGTGTGCACAACTGGAATTAGTTTTATTAATCGATTAGTGGTAGGGGATTGATTAAAGATTTTTTTAAAAGATAAATTATCTGAAAATAATTAATTAATAAAATTCATGTTACACATGACATAATGTAAACCCAAGGTAGAGTAATGGGCCGGACAAAGGATGACAACACCCATACAAATATACTTATGGGTCAAATATTTGGAGTTTGGACTTTTTTTGACCGACTTATGGTGTATTTTACCGATGTATATAAGGGGGAGGGGGAATGCATTTTACCTTAATTTTTTGGTGTAAAGAGTAGCTTTGATAACTCATTCACGAGGCTTAATCCACACATTGTAGAAAAATGTTACTGAAGACATTTAACTATACAATCCTATATTAATGAGATGGTAATGGCTGAGAAGAAGATGATACTTGGACAAAACTTTCCTAACATACTGTCATTTTTATATACACGTGGCGTTAATTTACAAGGAGGAATCCATCATGGCAAATATTGTTCGAGACACTCTTTCAGTTTTTGGAAAGTTACAGGCTTCGATACAAACGAGTCCATGCCGTTTGCAAAACACTCGTCAGCACTCTCTGACAATGCATTTGCAGTCATCTGCATATATGCAAAACATTTTTTTGTGTTAGTGTATGCAAAGTCAAGACTTATCTTCTGTGATAATAAGAGCTGAACTTGATTATTCAATGGCAGTAAAAGTGATGAACTTACTGCAATTATGGGGATACGCTTTGGAGGTGTACAATCTTGTTGAGATGAATCGGAAGGCAAAGGTTGTTCTACCCCTGCATTCATTGCTGCATCCCAATTACCGGTTTCTTCGAAGGAACGAATCAATCTCGTTGCTTGAAGGCCATCCATGACTGGCATGCACACATCCTGCAATAAAAAATTTAGCAGCTTTCAGAACTCAAATGTGTATGATGTTTCATCCTTTAGACGGTAAATCTTTAGCAGATTTAAAAGCAGAAGAAAGCTTCTCGTGTTTACAGGAGGGAAGGATTTACCATCAGGACGAGATCATAACTATGGCACTGAACTGCATGGACGGCTTCGACACCATTGTTCACAACATCTATTGTGTGGCCTGTTAGGAAAATAAACCGAGTACAAGTAATTTCCCTATAACCAGATTAGTGAGAATGCGAAATAAAAGCGGAAAAATAATACCCGAAAATTGATAACGGAGTTCAGCCAATTGTGCTTACGTCTCCGGGCTACTGCAGATCTTTTACTAAGAGAGAAAATTTACAGGTGTTTACAAAACACTCACTACTCACAAGAAAGCTCTCTAGTATAGGAAGAAAGAAATGTTTTGGGATGATTTTGAAGCTAAATGGGTAAGGGTATTTATAGTAGAAACTTAGGGACTAATCTTTGAAAATACCCTAAAGTGCAATGACTAAAGTGAATTTACCCATTCCTATTTTCAACAAACATCTACCAAAATTTTACCAAACTTTGAAAACATTTTTCAAAGAAACATTTACCAAACTTTGAAAAAAACATTTTCCAAAGTTGGTTGCCAAACTTTGAAACTTTTAACAATCTCCCACTTGAAGACTGATTTTAATATGTCTTCACACCTCGATCAATGCAGCAGCATGTCTGGTCTATTTATTCTAGCATGCCAACTGAAGTTGAACACAACTTCAGTTTGTCCGTAGTCACCGTCTTTGTCAACATGTCTGCCGGATTTTGAGCTCCACTAATCTTTTCAAGTTTCAAAATCCCATCTTCCAGAAGAGACCGGATAAAATGATATCTCAATTGTATGTGCTTTGTCCTGGAATGAAAAGACGGATTCTTTGCTAGATGGATAGCACTTTGACTGTCGCAATACAAGATATTGTTTTCTTGTTTCTTGCCTAACTCTTCCAAGAAACTTTGGAGCCAAACCATCTCCTTGCTGGCTTCCGTAACAGCGACATATTCTGCTTCAGTTGTGGAGAGAGCAACTATCTTCTGTAGTTGAGAAACCCAACTCACTGCAGTTCCTCCTAGAGTATAGACATACCCTGTAGTGCTCCTTCTGATGTCGACATTTCCGGCTAAGTCAGCTACATAGCCTGTCAGTATCATATCTCCACCTTTGAAACAAAGTGCTTTGTTTGTGGTACCACGAAGATATCTGAGGATCCATTTGACTGCTTCCCAGTGTACCTTGCCCGGATTATTCATGTACTGCTAACAGCTCCCACTGCATGAGCAATATCTGGTCTGGTACAAACCATGGCATACATCAGACTTCCAATTGCTGAGGCATACGGCACCTTCACCATGTGTGCACGTTCTTCCTCCGTCTTTGGTGATTGGTCTTTGGAGAGTCTGAAATGAACACCTAAAGGTGTACTTACTGGTTTAGCATCTTGCATGTTGAACCTGGAGAGTACTTTGTTGATGTACTCAGCCTGTGATAACATCAAAGTCCCCGACTTTGTGTCTCTCTTGATCCTCATCCCAAGAATCTGCTTTGCAGCGCCCAGATCCTTCATAGCAAACTGCTTCGACAATTTTGCTTCAAGTGTATAATCTCTTGCATGTCTGAGCCTGCAACGAGCATGTCATCAACGTACAATAATAAAATAATGAAGCTGTTGTCGAACCTCTTGATGTAGCAACAATGATCTGCTTGGCATCTGATAAAACCACTGCTACTCATGAAGCTATCGAACTTCTTGTACCACTGTCTAGGAGCTTGTTTAAACCATACAAGCTCTTCTTCAACCTGCATACCAGGTTTTTCTTGTCTGCCTCTATGAAGCCTTCTGGCTGCCTCATATAGATTTCTTCCTCCAAATCACCATGAAGGAAAGCTGTCTTTACATCTAACTGCTCAAGATGTAAATTCTCTGCAGCTACAATTTTCAACACCAGTCTGATTGTAGACAATTTTACGACTGGAGAGAAAATTTCATTGTAGTCAATACCTTCTTTTTGCTGAAAGCCTTTGACAACCAATCTTGCTTTGTAGCGTTTGCTCCCATCGTGCTCTTCTTTGATCCTGTAAATCCACTTGTTGTGGAGCGCTTTCTTGCCTGGTGGTAATTCAGCTAATTCCCATGTCTGATTTGACATAAGCGAGTCCATCTCATCTTTCATGGAAGACTCCCACTTGACTGAATCCTCCACTTGCATTGCTTCATCATAGCACTCTGGTTCACCATTGTCAGTCAGCAACAAGTAGTGTAAAGAAGGAGAATACCGTTGGGTTGGTTTAGGAATTCTGGAGGAGCGTCTCAGTTCTGGTGTGCCTGGTTCTTCTTGAACTGCTTCAGGATTGATCTGAACATCATTTCCAGAAATCTCCTCGAACTCAGCAAATTCCTTTGTTTCAGCTTCGGTATTACTTGATTCTGCGGTTGATCTATCTTTGTACATCACATTTTCATTGAAAATGACGTCTCTGCTTCTGATGATCTTCCGATTTTCATAGTCCCAAAACCGGTAACCGAACTCATCACCGCCATAACCAACAAAGGCACATTTGTTGGACTTAGCATCAAGCTTACTTCTTTCAGCAGAGTCTATGTGTACATAAGAAATACAACCAAACACTCTTAAGTGTGAAAGGTTTATTTCTTTCTTGCTCCAAACTTCCTCTGGTATTCTGCCATCCAAAGGAACTGAGGGCCCACGGTTGATCAAGTAAGCTGCAGTGTTGATTGCTTCAGCCCATAGAAATTTGGGCAAGCCGGCATGTATCCTCATACTTCTGGCACGTTCATTCAGAGTTCTGTTCATGCGCTCTGCTACACCATTATGTTGCGGTGTCTTGGGAACTGTTGTCTCCATCTTGATCCCATTGTTTGCACAGAAATCTCTGAATCTACTGTCTCTGTACTCTCCTCCATTGTCAGACCTCAACCGCTTGACTTTCAAACCAGTCTCATTTTCCACCATGGCCTTCCATTTTCTGAAGGTATCAAAGACTTCTGATTTCTTCTTCAGAAAATAAACCCACACCTTCCTTGTTGAATCATCGATGAAGGTGACATAATATAGTGAGCCTGCAAGAGATGGAACTGGGGATGGTCCCCATACATCAGTATGAATCAATTCTAACCTTTCTGTCTTGGGTGTCTTGCCAATCTTTGCAAAAACTGACTTTCTTTTGTTTGCCAAAGATGCAATCCTCGCATAGTCCGACATCTACATTCTTTAGATCCGGCAGCTTCCCTTTTGACAAAAGTGTCTTCATCCCTTTCTCGCTCATATGGCCGAGCCTTTGGTGCCATAGGTTTGATTTCCATCAGCATCTGCTACTGCAATGATATTCTCTAAATTGGAGGTTACATAGAGAGTACCAGTCTTCTTACCACGAGCAATGACGAGTGCTCCTTTGGTAATCTTCCATTCACAACCTGAAAATGTTGTGCTATATCCTTCTCCATCAAGCTGTCCAACAGAAATCAGATTTCTTTTGAGGCCAGGAATATGTCTCACTCCTGTCAGCTTCCAGGTGGTCTGGTTTGGCAACTTTAGTCGGATGTCTCCTTTTCCGACGATCTTTAAGGTTTCATCATCAGCAAGATGAACCTTCCCAAAATCACCACTGACATAGTTCTCCATGATTTCTTGGCATGGGGTGGAGTGGAAAGATGCCCCTGAATCCAAGATCCATGATTCAATCGGACTGTTGACGCTTAGAATCATGGCATCACCTGTCTCCTCTGTCACGTTGGCAGATTCCTGTGCACCGGTATCTTTCTTCAGTGCTCGGCAATCTCTTTTAAAGTGACCTTTCTTGCCACAATTATAACAGGTAAAATCTTTCTTTCCCGTTCTAGATTTTCCCGTCTGGATTTTGATCTGCCACGATTTGAATATCTTTCTGAAGTTCTTCCTCTAGACTCCGTGTGCAAGGCTGAGGAGGTTGATGCTTCACCCAATTCTCTCCGTCGAATTTCTTCACTCAGTACCAGATCCCGAACATCGTCAAATTTAATTTGCTGTTTCCGACGAACTGCTGACTGCTGTAACAGTAGCATTCCAACTGTCTGGTAGAGATGATAAGAGAATTAAAGCTCGAACTTCATCATCGAACTCAATTTCCACTGAACTCAACTGGGTTGTGATTGTGTTGAGTTCATTTAGGTGTTGTGCCACCGATGCCCCTTCCGTCATCCGCAAATTGAATAATCGCCTCATCAAATGAACTTTGTTTGAGGCCGATGGCTTCTCGTACATACTGGAGAGAGCCGCCATAAGACCCGCCGTGGTCTTTTCCTTTGCTATGTTAAAAGCAACATTGCGGGATAACGTCAGTCGGATAACTCCGAGGGCTTGTCTGTCGAGAAGAGCCCAATCTTCATCCTTCATGCCCTCTGGTTGCTTTCCTGAGAGAGGTTGATATAGATTTTTCTGGTACAAAAAATCTTCAATCTGCATCTTCCAAAAGCCAAAGTCCGCACCATCGAACTTTTCAATTTTCACCTTCCCTTCGTCTGCAGCCATCGCTCCCACTCGAATCTGGCTTCGTTTGGATCGTTTCTGACAATTCTTGCGAATCACTGTGTATTAGAACACCACCGTCGACAAACTCGTATCGCCGACCGAATTTCACTATTCACGAAATTCACTATTCACGTGAATAGTAATGAATAGTAACCTCGCAGAAAATTTGACAAAATTCACAACCAAAAGCTCTGATTACCAGTTGTTAGGAAAATAAACCGAGTACAAGTAATTTCCCTATAACCAGATTAGTGAGAATGCGAAATAAAAGCGGAAAAATAATACCCGAAAATTGATAACGGAGTTCAGCCAATTGTGCTTACGTCTCCGGGCTACTGCAGATCTTTTACTAAGAGAGAAAATTTACAGGTGTTTACAAAACACTCACTACTCACAAGAAAGCTCTCTAGTATAGGAAGAAAGAAATGTTTTGGGATGATTTTGAAGCTAAATGGGTAAGGGTATTTATAGTAGAAACTTAGGGACTAATCTTTGAAAATACCCTAAAGTGCAATGACTAAAGTGAATTTACCCATTCCTATTTTCAACAAACATCTACCAAAATTTTACCAAACTTTGAAAACATTTTTCAAAGAAACATTTACCAAACTTTGAAAAAAACATTTTCCAAAGTTGGTTGCCAAACTTTGAAACTTTTAACATGGCCCAACTGCTTCATCATGTTCTTCGTCACCATTACGTTAATCTTGTTATCTTCCACCAGTAGGATCTTAGGCTTTGATACAGAATCTGATACTTCTTGACGTCTGTTAATTGTGGGCTGAGAACTGCTGTCAGATCTTTCCTGCCTCTTAGGTGGTAGCTGAGGCTCACTTATCTTCATTTTCACATCCATATCTCTGCTTGTGTCAGAGCAGCCCGAGACATCTCTGGTAGAAGCTTTGTTCTCGGCATCTACATCATTTTGATGATGTTTGTCTCTGCAAATCGCACTTCGATTTTCGCGGTCTGGGCTATGGCTAAATGAACTTTCAGGATCAGATGATATCTCAACAGCTTCAGCCACAGAACAAGCATCTTCAACTAAATCCATCTCCTTTGTTCGACCATTACTCGTGGGGAATGAATAACAAGTCTCTGACAACACATTAAGTTTATATGAACTTGCATAGCCAATATTATGTGGTAATAATTTTTGGGTTCTGCTAGTTCCAGTAGAACAAAAAAGAGAACCCAAAGTACGTGGCTGGAATTGGAAAACACCAGCCGTTGCATCATCATTTATAGCACCATGATCATCCATATCTGGTAGGACATCAGGGTCATCAGAATGATCACATGATAGAGAAACCTTGTAAGGTAGGATAAACGTAAATGTTGAACCACAATGCACTCGGCTAGACACCGTAAGACGGCCGCCCATTAGCTCAACCTATAGAAAACGCATAGAATGTTAGGATAGCCAGTTTAAACTAGACCTACTGGGATTTATATCATAATTATCTGATCTGCTAACTTGTGGGAGTATATCAATTGTAGAAGAGGGAAGGCTACTATATCAATTGTAGAGGGAAAGTTCAAAACCAAATAAAACATCATTGTTGATGGATGAAAGAATTCACCAGCTGTTTACATATTGCAAGCCCCAGTCCTGTTCCACCATACTTTCGGGCATGATCGGCACTGACTTGCATGTACTTCTTAAAGAGTGTAGGTAAAGCATTTTCTGTCACAGGAAGATAGGAAAATTCATCAAGTTTTCCCCATCCTGAATCAACTTATATATCTAACAAAATCTCAGATTTCTTGTGATAATGTAGATGATTTCAGACAAACATACATGCGTACCTGGTATTCCAATCCCCGTGTCATATACGTCACAGCGTATCCACACTGTTGTTTCAGGTAGTTCTTCTTGTTCCTCAGTTGCATCTATTGTTCCATTCCTTACTGGAGTTCCAGGTTCACTTTGTGAATGGTTTTGGCAAGAACCTTCGTGTTTCTTACCATGATATCCTCTCTGATCACTGCTAGTTTGAGACATCGATGTACACGTCTCTTCTTTGGCTACGTTTGTTGTGGATTGATTAGCAGTTGATCCATCAGATACACGCTGAGATGTTTCTTTTGCAAAAGGCGGTTCTGGTACTACATAAAGTTTTACTCCTACCCTCCCTTCGTGTGTAAATTTGATCGCATTGCTGAAGAAGAAAGGTTGTCTTACTCAACATCGAGAAATGAAAGTTATGAATAGTAAATAATTCATAAACATATTCTGGCGCATAATTGTTAGAACCATTCATTTCCAAAATCCAAAACATACACACAATTTTTACAGTTGCAGGAACGTGTAATTTAATTCTCAGAATAATCAGTTACTCGGTCCATATTAGAGCTATCAAATGCAACCTGTCTGTTACAAACTGTTTTCATGATAATCTGTAGGAAAATTGAAACATTAATTGTGACTTCTCATAGTTCAATACCTGATCAAGTTGGTGAGAATTTGTCGAATTCTTAGCACATCACCTATGACCTGAAATTATTGAATAAAGCTCCAGAATATGAGGATGGTGAAAAAAGGACTTCATTTTTCAAATAATAGTCGATGGAAATGTGTCATAAGACTCCCACCTCAATAGGAACATCATCTGCAACATTTCCTTCCAAGGTAAGAATCTTTTGCAATGATGCTGCAGCTGTCTGGAGAACATGCTTTACCACCTCTCTTGGTCGGAATTTTGTATATTCCAACTTCATGACACCTGATGTAACAGAGAAGATAAATTTAGAAATTCCAACATCCGAGAGTAATAACCTGTCCTGAGCTAGAGCATAAAATTTTCAGACAAAAAAAGTACGATGCGATTGTGAATCTGAAACAGAAATACAACTTTCTAAACATGCATTACAATATCATTTTAGGACCAGATCTCTCAAACTTGGTGCTATATATGGTACTACACTGTCCAACTTATAATCAGCTCTAAGAAATTAACATACAAAGCTTAAAATTGAAAATATCACAGTACGAGCTTTTCATGCAATTTAGGGGCTAAAATCCATACCTGATTCAACCTTGGAAAGATCAAGGATGTCATTTATGAGTTGAAGGACCAAATCTCCTGAAGATAACATGACATTTAACAACTGTTTTTGCTCTCGATCAAGTTTCGTTGTGGCCAGGATCTCAGCCATGCTAACAACCCCAGATAGAGGAGATCTTATCTCATGAGACATGGTTGCCAGCATCTGTTTTGCACGCATTGTCTCCTCTAGAGAACGTGTAAAAAGAAGGCAAAGTAGAGTTGCTTCAGTGCTTTAAAAGGGATAGCTAAAGAGAAATTCAAAAATATTTATGTCACCCTAGTAAAAAAAAAACCTGTTATATGTATGGTTCTATTGAGTTCTGTTTCCTTCGCCTTTTGTACTGCAATCTCCTCTCGAAGCTTTATCATCTTTTCTCTTTTCCTTACCTATTGTGCAATCAGAAACATAAATACCCATTTTTCTCCATCTCAATTAATAGCTTATACAACCAATATGAACAAACTGAATATACCTGATCTGTTATATCCATACCCATATAATTTATACCAATAGTCTCCCCTGCCTTGCTAAAAACAGGTTCCACATATATCAAAAATGTCTTTGACCCAAATAGTTCTGTCTCGAACGTGATTTCTCTTTTTGCAGGTAACCCTTTATCCAGCACTTCCTTTTTAAAATCCTGAGACTCCTTAACACCAGATCCGGTAAAAATTTCCACATCCGTTTTTCCTAGAATGTCCTGAAAGGAGAACCAATTAAATTTCAGGTAAATCTTATGCCACTTCATAAATAAAAGGACGGAAAAAGACGAGGGAGGTAAGTTACAAAGGAAGCAAAAAACTTTAATGTGAGGGCAATCATTCTAGCGACCCACACTTCAACAAAAGATTACCAAACCTTGAATAAGAACTACTTTGCAATAAATTACCTCCTCTTGCAAACTTGGAAAATGGTTATAAATAAAGCGATAACGCAGCTCTTTATCCTGAAATTTGATCGAAAAATAAGTTTCATTAGTTGAAAGATCATACTTCAAGATATGTGGACTATTGGCTTAAATGATTTATTTGATGATATCTCTTCTGCTCAAGAAAACAATCTATGTAACAACTTTTAAATTGACATTAGGTAGCATATTTTATCAGTAAAACTTTGTTGATTACCTGATGTCCAAACACAACTGGTGCAGTTTGAAGTACAAAATGTAAAAAATTATCTGCTCTTTTGAGAATCTGGGACAACTCTTCTACTGGCGAGGACTGCTTTTCCAGATTTTTTATGCTTTCCTGCAATTTTTCCTTCAGTAGTTGCTCTCTCTGCATGCTGGCTTCCAACATTTTCTCCAAATGCATGGCTCTCTGTTTCCAGTATATGACAGTATCATACTCGGCATCAATTTCAACTCTTTTACTTGGAACCACAATTTTATTTTTTCTCCGAGGAACGTCTTGCCATATATCATAAATGCCATCCAGTATGGAAATCGAGCGTTTATCTCCTCCGTACCTTTCCTCCTCGAAACGATGTTCCTCCAATATCTCCAATTTCTTAAGCTCAGATTCCTGCCTTTGTCTGCTTAGATTGTCAATTTCTTCTCTAAGAAGACGAACAGCGTTCGTTTGCTTATATTCCCAGTGTTTTACAAGGTATGCTAACTGAGACGAGCCCTTGTCAGTATAATTAGTTAGCTCTATAAGATGTTGGAAATCAACTATAGTTGGCTCGCCCACAATTGTTACCTCCTCCAACATATCTTGGTCACCTCTTGGCTTTTCTACTTTAAACTGCTTTCCAGCTTCGTGCTCTATGTCTTCAGGCCACATCGAAGAAAGGACTTCGACATCCATGTCTTCGATTTGATCGTCTTCCATCTCACAAACCATTGAAATCACTCAACTACAACCTGTTTGAATTGAAATGCTCAAAACATAAATTAACATCAATAGATAATCAAGCTGCCCTTCACTACTCCCTTGTAGGCTTCTGCTATGTCTCTATATAGCATCTTTTAATCAGAGCAAATCCTGCACGAGAATTTTAAATTAGGAATGTCCTCTTTCCATACTAAGTTTAGCCTTTAACATAAAATAATTGATTCTATGATTTGTCCAGCCCAAGTATTTCATTTCAAATCAAATTTTATTTGAAAGCAACTTACATGACAAAGATGTGCAGTTCATGGAAAACACAAATTTGGCAATTCTAGAAAAACCATCGGAAAACAGATAGAATAGAGTAGATATGTTGCCTGATGGGGAAAAACATCAATTGGAGACGGAAAAAACAGTGAAAATCTCCTGATTCGATGGAAGTCATATAAATTCCAGAAGTTGAAAGAAGTTTATATATTAAAAAGCGGAAAACAAAAGGCTTTCAAATTTTCAGGCGAAAGGAATCAAATTCATCTGAGGAAGCGCTGAAGCTTAAATTTGGCTTCAATGTATAAACTTCCATTGATCGTTAACAACAGCTGAAATATATCACATTCCAAACAAGTAGTAACATGGAAGAACAATTCGAATCTGATTTCAAAACAATGGAGCTGGAGATTCATTAAACAGAACAACCGAAAACAGCGCCAACGACAAATAGGAGAAAGTTTAGTGAACAAACACAATAACCGCTGCTCTCTTTATTATTATAATGAAAGCGAATCAGTTAATCAATTAAGATTAAGCAAACACAGACAAACACATTAGTAAGCTAACCTTTGAGATTGAATCACATCCACCAGCAACTCAAGGAGAAATAACAAGCAAAAGGTAAACAATAGCAACCAAAAACTAAAAATATTTTCCACTGTGGATCTGAGCAACTCCTTTTCTCTTCAGCTATTCCGTCAACAGCCTTCAAATGCCAAGGAGAAACTCCTTTTTTAATTCAAAAACCTCAAGAAGAAAGGTTGAAGCGGCTAGGATTAAGAGAGGAGAGAGAAAAGGAAAGCAGAGAGTTAATTTAAGAGAGAGGGAGGGGAGCATTTGACTGAAAAGAAAAACAAAAATGTAGGAGAGAAGGGGGAAGCCATGTGCGATCGGAGGTCAATAACAATAGATAATTCTCCCCCGAGTATTTTATATGTATGCCGTAGCTGCACCTCCTTTGTTTTTAGAGGTTATATATTAAAAATGTCTTCTGCTGCAAAGGAAGAAAAGTGAATGATTGAGAGCTGATTATAAGTAGTCATTGTTGTAGTGGATCATAAGTCTATTCTTTTTCCTGCTGAAGAAGGGGAGAAAAAATATATTAATAAAATCACAAAATAAATAACTTTGGAAAATTGAGAGACATGCAAAGGATGAGAGAAAGGTTTTTTTATCTATAACGCTCATATATCCATGCAGGTAAACTCAAAATTAAGGAAGCTTTTATTGTTCCTTTTTCCCCGCACACCCTTTACCGTGCCAAGGTGACGTGATGGGACGGCGTGTGGATTGACGCGCAAAGATGCTGCTAACTGCTGAGTGCTGTCGCCCATGATAATTCAATATAGTTTATACGTTATGATTAAACCTATTTGTATTAAAATAAAATCCGATATAAATACTGTGCAAGTAGAGAAAGTGATAAACTAACTCACAAAAGAGAGAGAGAATTGATGTAGTGAAACAAACCGAGAAAAGGAGAACGTACATGAGTTTGTGTGTTAGAGACAACCGCTTTGATATTGATATTATGAGTCGAATTAAGGGGAGAGAGAGCCTCCTAATCACGTTTAAGATTCCTTGATGAGTAAGACCATAATTTAGTAGGATTTAATTATTAATTTTGGTACTATCTCTGTGGAAAAGTAGAGAAAAAGAAAAGGCCAAATAATTATAACATATACAAAATTTTAATGTGAATACAACTAGCTAGTTGGATAGACATGTAGTGTTTTTAAATTAGTTTTGAGGTCGTTAATTAAAGACGACAATGCTCCTAGTTTATCCAACTAAACAACTAAGCAGTATTCTCATTTGCATTCAGTCTGCTTTTCCAATTTTCCTTTTTTTTTATAAAAAAATGAAAATAGGGGACAATTGTCTAATAGTATACGACAGCGGCTCCAATGTGACAAACCGCTGACCAATATCTATGACGCCACGTCATCCACACTTGGCTTTCCAGGTAAATTTTGCTCATCGCTGGTTCTGAATTGGAGAAATATGATATAGACGTGAAACTCCCAACTTGCAATATTATTATTTCTTTCTTTCTAATAAAGGTCTGATTGCAGAGCCGACGACTTCTATGATGTGCTTTTTAAAATTAGTAAAGATTGAATAAATCAGAAAATTAAGTATTGATTAAATTGAATAAAAAATCACTGAAATATAATAAATTTATTTTATTTAATATATATATATATATATTTGTGAACACAAATATAAATCAATTTAAATGATAATATTATATTTATATGAAGATTTTGACTCTAATTACTCTCCAAAATTACTATCAATATTTGGATATTTTATTAACTATATAACTTGAATATTATATGTTTGAATCTGTATATATTTAAAATCATATACCTATATGATTTACAAATATTCAAATGAAATTCACAATTCAACTTGTAAAACATCGGTAATTGATTTTTTTACTTTTAATAAAATTATTTGAATAAACTTTACAATTCAACTTGTATCATGCGTTACACTTGCTAATGGACGAGTTGATAAAACATGGTGATTGATTCTTACGCTTTTACAAAACTCAAACAACAAATTACTATCACAGTCTAGTAGAACTCCTCGAACAGTGTTAATACCTATAGTTAAACAATAGCACCATCAATATTGAGGTAGTTCCATTTTTGTGGCAGCTTTTCAAACATGATGTTCTCAATGTTTTTCGACGGAGGATTAACATTCAGAGGTTGACGATCGAAAAGTACTTGAATCTAATTCAAATTATAATGCAGCATCACATCAGATTATCATTAAATACAAATAGTTACATTCCTTTTAGTTTATTTTCACTGAATGAACATAATCAAAACTTCACCATATATATCTATTTCTTTTATTTTTTACGGTCGATCTGGAACGTGTGTTTCTTGGTGGTAGTTTGGTACAGTGGAACTCGAAAAAAACAGAAAACGGTGTTTCGGTCCACCATAGAGGCTGAATATAGAAGTTTATCTGATGCTACGTATGATGTTATTTGGCTTGAAGCGTTGTTAAATGATATGAAGGTTCAAGTTCAAGCTACGTTTGTGGTTTGGAATGATAACACTAGTGATATTGCTATGAGCGCCAACCCTATGTATCACTCGAAGACCAAGCATGTGGAGTTAGACGTTCATTTCGTCAGAGAACCTGTTGCAGCAGGGAAACTTAAAATGAATTATGTTCCCTCTGAACATCAGGTGGCAGATGGGTTGACAAAGGCTTTAACAAAGGACTACTTTGCTTGGTTTCAGCAGAAGCTCGGGGTTTTCTCTTTTGATGAGGTTGAGAGAAGAAAGAGTAGGGAGAATATTAAAATATTCTAGAATCTGCTGTGCATTTAGTATTGAAGTATTCTAGAATCTGCTATGCATTGAGATGAGGTTTTTCTAGAAGTAGTTACACGGTTATACCAATTCATTGTATTCTGGTATGTTGATGTAAGCCGGTGGTTATTGTTCCTTTGTATATAAAGAGTATACTTGACTTTTTATTTAAAAAAAACCAGAATGCATTCCTTTACTCTTTGTATATTTTATTTGCATTTCTAATACATAACATTTCTCTAATTTAACAACAAAATTATCCTTTTATCGAAGAGTCCACGTGTAGAACCGTGTAACTTATCATTTCTTCACGTGATATACATGTAGAAAATTATTGTTGATGAAGTAACGTTATGGTAACCTTATGGCAAGGCAATTTTTTTTAAACAATGTCTCATTGATCACAAGGTAGATAAGTTATGTAGCCTTTTCTCAAGTTGAGATGATTGAGTTGAACGAAGTTATTCCATATAACAAATGTTTTTGGCAATTCAAGCTCATTATAAAGATTTACGCAAAAGAGAAAAAGCTGCCTGTTGGGTGGGTAGGAGACTGGAGTGGGGGAGGGCGGTTTGCCAGCACATTTTCGACAGTGGTTTATTTGATTGGTTCAAGTTACTATATATGCTACCTCAACCTCAAGTAGCCAAGCCATTATAATAACCAACCTTATGTATCTTAGCTATCCCATTTCCCGCTGTATTTCAATGCATCATTTTACGATTTATTCAAGGAACGCGATGGCAGTACTACGCACACATATAACTTATTATATCTTACAAATTAAAAATAATAATAAATTCCTTTATATATATGGAATTATATTACTGCTAGGTCTAAACTCTTATTAAGAAATTATAGCGCTTAAGAAATACTTCTAAGTAACTTGAGACGAGCATCGTTTGGAAAGATGAGCAAAGATCAAATTATGAACCACGTAAAAAATTAAGAAATGAATTTATTATAGTAACTAGTAATTAAGATGATACTAAAAACACAAAAATACATAAGGATATTTCTTGAATAATTACTTCGAAACTCTTTTTTTGTTACAAATTAATCCGACTCAAGAGCGAAACACTATAACACTGCACATGAAATCTAATGAAAGAAGAGTAGTTGGATAGAAGGAAACAACTTCCTTAATACAAGGATTAGTTTAATCATAAACAAATCGTGGACTTTTCTTGTTATACCCGCCATCAAATGTTTTGAAAATATAAATTTGATATGACGGGTCTCAGACATTAAAGATTTTTCTACATTAAAGGTTTCTAAAAATACTGTCACCGTCGTATCATATAATTCTTATCTTATATATTTCTAACATTATAAGTTTGACAATTTGTTCTGTTTGAACAATTCATTTTTTTTCCAAATAACTCATTTAATTAGTTTGTTAAGTTACTCATTTTTACCTTTTTTATATTATT